TATCTCAAAAAGGGTTAGAAATTCCCTTGGATAAGGACAGCGCGCCATTGAAAGTGTGGACAATGCATGCCTTGTCCATGCTGGCTATAAGATTAAGGAATATATGAATGTGTATTACGAGTCATAGGAGGGATGGAAATAAGACTAGAAAGAAAAGAAAAAACAACAGAGATAATATGTCAATTATGAGAGTTATAGAAAGATATAAGATGTATTTAATACACACTAAATTAAAGTAAAAGAAGAAGAATAATTGTTTCTGTTACTGTAGGAGACACACTTTGCTTATCTGAGTTGTCGCGATCTTGATCCTTGATCTAGGTCTTCTCATTCCGTTCTAGGTAATTCGAGGAGGAAAAGGTGCCTGCAAAAGACATTTCGACTCTCAAATAAGTGATCGGCATATTAAATGCGGTAGTTCATAATTAGTTACGTACCTCGTTGATGATCTATTTATAATAGTTGTTGTTAGGCCATGATTAAAGAATGGGCCTTGAAAAATTAGGAGGTTAAACAGGTGTATTAAGTAAATTAATCTCGCCTTAAATCACCTGGTTTAACTTCGTGTCCTCGAATACGCGAATCCTATTGATCGAGTCGGCCAACCCCGATTCTACCAAGCCGACCGGGTCAGCGGCGCTAATTATGTTCGGTCGGGTTGAACTACTAGATATGTTCAACCTGGTCGATTACCTTCTAGTACAATAACATTTAGGAAAAATGTTTAAAAGTTACTAAATGTATATATTATTTTTTTATTTTGTATTTTAGTTAATAAATAACTTAAATAAAACATTTTAAATTTACTATAATGATTTTTAATATTAACTATCATAACAAAAATGATGATGATCACAATATAGTGATCACGATATTATGATAGTAGACATATGTGATAACGTTGATGGTAGGAGTGAGTGGTGGTGAGCAACTTTAGGATTTAGCAACAATGACAAGGAGTGTGATGGTAGTGCCATCAGGGTTGGCCAAAGGGGTATGCTATCAGGGTTGGTTAAAGGAGTATGCTATCAAAGTGTTCGTTTTAGACTTCTTTGTTAAAAATTATATTTTTATATAATTTTCAAGGTTTCATAATTTAAAAGTTTTACTTAAAAAAATCTATCTCTAAAAAATATAAAATATAATTATTTTTTAAAGATTTATATCTGTTTTTATCAAAAGATAATTATGATTAATTTTAGAAAAATATAACTTTAAAATTTACCTTAAATTTTATAATATGATAGGTCGATATTGGGTGTAACAACAATGATGATTGTAATGAATGTTCTTATTTTTTAAATATTTCATATTTGTCCCATGGTATTTTAATTACGAAGCAAAAATAGTTTTTGTTCCATCTTTTTTCATCTTATTTGTCATGCTTTATAATTTTTTTTGTAAATTAAAATGGGATAATTACATTTATCTTGCCTACTACTATAATATTTTTTACAAATCAATGTTTAGCTTTACATCCGCCGCAAGGTATCATTTCTAATATATGTGTGGGATAAACTCAAACACATTAAGTACATCCTATACATGAATCATAAATTTTTATTGAATGTGACATTGAATTGTAATCTTTGAACATAAAAAATTCAACATTTTCAATCCAGTAAACTTGTAAATAAATATAATATATCTATCTAGATAGATATATTAGACACTAAATGAATCAATGATTTATCATAATTTAACTAATCAAACTTTGACTTATTGTTTAGTAATAAAAAAGAATACAACTAAAATACTTTAATTTCTTATATTTGTTTTTACCCAATTGATGAATATAAGTAAATATAATATAATATATATATATATATATATAATATTATCATTTAATGTAATAAATGAATAATTATGTCATAAATATTCATTTAAAATTTCTTTTTTTCTCTTTATATTTTTCTTTTTATCATATTATATATTTGATAACTTTACTACTCTCTTCTCTTTCTTTGTTCTCTCTCAATTTGCAAGATATCAAATAGCATGATATATATATAGAGAGAGAGGGTGTGTGAGAGAGAGAAAGAGAGAGATAGATAAATAGTATTGTGTAATGAAAAAGAGAAAGATGAATAAAAGATGTAAAAAAGATTTTATACATGCTGTATACATATATTATTACCCTAAAAAATGTAAAAAGCATTGTTTAGGTGTATGATGCTCTAAGAACAATGTTCTTACCACAAGAGCAATCCCAAGATAATGTTTAAGTGGGATCATCAAAATAAACAATAACCAATCCTGTGATTTAAGAGATTTTCTAGCTGTAAAACTCCTTGATTTACTCTCAAAATAACAAAACCTCCCTCCAATTATTAGATCAGGACCAACTTGATTCTCATGTGTATTCTTTGCTTTCCAATTGGATTCCATATCTCTACAAATAGTAATTGCTTTGCATTCATTTTGTAATATTCTCTCTTAACTATTCAATTTGTTGGTGTAAAATAAAAACTATTCAATTTGTAATATTCTCTCACTTAATTATGTTAATTATTATGTTGTTATTATCTATAATAATAATAATAATAATAATAATAATAATAAAAGTGATGATAAAAGATATTAATCTATTTTGTGTACATATTTTTTTTTACAATTTTCTTTATATAATTTTCTCTCAAACTACTCTTTTTTTTTTACCAATTTTTTAATTTGGTTTTTATTCTTTCTTTTTCTACTTTTTTTGTAAATTCTATTTTTCAAGACTGTTCAAAAACTATTTTTATAATTATAATTACCTAAAACTTATTAAATTATTAACCCCTCACTTTTATTTTATAAAAAATTAACGAAAGCACAAAATACTTTTTTTAGCCGATACTCTATAAAGATTATTGTCAATGTTATGTTAGTGTCCAGTGTCCAGAGTCCAGACAGCGTACCCTTCTATACTCTAAACGAGCATTTGATGAATTTAGTTCAAGTTGGGACCTATGACCTTTATCAAGCACAAACAAAGCATAAGATATGCATCATACATCATACATAACATACAAAACAAAATTTTAAATTGACAATTATATACAAAACAATGTTCATTGTATTTTCTTTTTGGTACATTATGATAAGATCAAATTAAGAACAATCACTTCACTTTCTGTTAAATAATGCTAAACTACAATACAAACAGGGCAATGTTAAGAAGTGCCCCATGCGGAATAAAAAATTCACTTGATACAATTGCTATCAGATATATGTAGACCAATTTATTAATTCCATGCAAATTATGAGGGCATTATTTTGTTGAGACTATAAGTGAAATACCATAGCATTATTTTTCGGACAGATTTTAGAAAACTGACCACACATAAAAAAAGAAATGCGAGTCTCAAGTTAGCCAATGTTAAACAACAGGAAAAAGAAAAAGAAAAAAAAAACTTTGATTGCCTAAACGGAAATTAAAAAATGAACTAGAAATAAAATTTAAAATTATAAAAATATTCATGGGTGGTGGAGCCTACGACTGAGGCCATGGATGAGTGTGCAAAACTTTATGGGTTATTTAATTAAGACGAACCAGGCTGGAAAGGCACCATGGACGGCCATTTGTGGTGGAAAATTGGCTTTCTAACACCGTTTTCTGTTGACAAATGCTTCATAATTTTACCACTACCAAACTTTGGGATCAGTGATTTTCGTGTAG